TAGAAAGATACAATTCCACAAGGAAACAATTAAGAAAACAAGCCAATGATATCCAAAGACAAGAACCCTACACATTTTATGTTATCTTATCTGATTTAGTATATGCATATGATTAATTTGGCCTTAACCTTATTAGTTGATGAGTAAAACATTAGAAAAAGGAAGACTGAAACTCAAAGCCATCCATGTGTAATACTTTGATTGTTTTCATGAATATCAGGCAATGATACACCATAATATATGTTTCTTCAAAGCAACCCTTTTTTAATCACTGTAAATTAGTCTTATAGATTTTCTATGAAAGATCTTGATGGCAGTGGATTATCATATAGATTGGAAAATCCTAAACCATCCATTTGTAATACTTTGATTGTTTAAGCATTAATTTAACTTTCATCATTGATGACGATTTCAATACACAATAATCGATTTTTGAACAATTCCAGTGATTGAATATGTCACTCAACATTACTTAATTCGAAACGTGGTTTAATTCCCTCTTATAAAATATATCATAGAGATTACTTTATTAAATTATGCACTGAGGTCAAGACTGATGATCTATCAACTTACTTAATAAAGAAATAAAAAAAAAAAAAACCTAAATTACGCACGTTTCATTGGAAATTAGAATTAATATACAGTATTATAAAATATGCCTCGGAACCCGCTGTATTTAAAATGATATTGATATATAAACCCTAACTGCAGCTCATCCAGATAATATTGATTACTGCTCAAGACTTGACTAGCAGCACAGCAGAGCCATGCTAAATGTTAAGGAAATAATATATTAGATGATATAACTAAATGTGTATATACAACTAATTTATGACAAATTAAAGCCTGTGTTTCTCATCAACGACAATGGTTTACAAATACTGCACGCTTTCTTGGATGAGATCGTGTAGTTGCTGAGATTGTGGATTATTGATTATATGACATATTAACCAACTAATATATCATTTCATATAAGTAAGAGCTACCTTGTTTGAACATCTAATACTCTTTTAATCATAGATAAATTACAATACCAATACCAGCCTCCAAGAGCATTAGAGAAATTAAACAATAACAAATGGAATTGCGACGGGTAACTATCTTTGGGCGGTCGGTGATTCGATAGGGACTCTTGAGTTGTATACTGCAACATGTTCTGAGTTCGAGTCCCCTCAGTTGCTAATAGGGATAATCACTAGAGCTCTTACTCATCCGATAATTCAGAGTCTCAAGAGATTAATTGAAATGCGCATAAGCTGACTCAAACACTCCGGTCTTAAAAAAAATGTGACGGGTATTAGTTTTATATATAATTAATTTACTTGTCAACAAACTCTTGTATGTATAATAACACATGGCTGCCTTACACTTGGCTTTACGAAATGTCATAAAATCTAATGCATGTTTTGAACATCTAGATGTCAATCGGAAACATATCTTTAATGTCGAAACTTAGTGCAGAAGAAGTGTTGGAATAATAAAGCATATATAGAATGTAGCGTAATAAAGGCAAGATATGCTCTTTATTCGTTGATCGTTGTTACTTGACCGAGTAAAGGTGATCTGTATACTTTAGGATAAATTTAGTGTTATAAAACTTGCAACAGCTGCATAATATGCACGGGCGGCCATAGAATATCACTGCAAAATTAATTGTCTTTCTCTTCAAGGATAGGTTTTCCTTAATTAAGTTAATATTAAATGTTACGGTCAACTTTAATATAAATATAATAATTCGGTAAGAAAATAGAAAGATTAAGAATCATTTCTTTTATTTACACGGGGACCATAATATAATTGGACACACGATGTACCCCGCCTTTGTGCCACCATAATCCAGCAAATCTAGCCATATTTCATATTTAAGTGTCATGAATTTATTAAGCAGTAAGTGACAATCAATGGAAGAAAATGCTCAAATATGTGTCGTTAGGTTGATCAACAATTTGTTAATTTAGTAGATTATCAAATGAGAATATAATGACATAGTTTTTCATAACTAGTAGACCCACGATTATCGAGAGCTAATTAAATGTTGCTCTTCTACTATATATTAACTTAATATTATGCCCAAAATATATATTTAGCACATGGTGCATCTCAATCTTTTAACTACCTTTGAATGATTAATTAGTTTCGATAGAGCTTTTTGGTGTATTACAGAGATCTTGAATTCGAGTCTCTCTCAGTTGTTAATAGAGGTAGCCCTGAAGTTCTTACCCAATCGATAGTTCCAATTCCAAAGGATTAATTGAAGTGCGCGTAAGATAACCAAACACTCCTAGTCATAAAAACAAAAACAAAATCTTTGGACATTATTTCACGTTATAGGACTTTATTTCAAATTCCTAGTTTGTTTGGTATTACTTATGATAGTCGTTTTAGATAACAATTATTATTTGAAAATAATGGATTATTTTTCTTTGAAAGAAGCATATTATTTGAAAGTTCTATAAATGAATTTTTTTTTTTTTTTTTTTTTTTTTTTTTTTTTTTTTTTTTAAGTTAACAAGACAGAGAGTATTTTATAAGATATAGGTGAAAAGATACTGTATATGTATAAAATAATTCTTCAATCTTTGAAAGCATCTTGATTTCTCAGTCTTTTGTTTATTTATAAATATTTGTGAAGTTTATAAGATGAACTCACATAATATATTATCAATTTTTGTGCTAGCGTGATGTTAATCTAAGTATTTGATTTATACTTTTACTATATACGTGTTAAGAAGAAGCACATGCATTAACTCCATTATCCTTTTATATAATTAACTCAACGACTTCATGATATGAATTAATTAATTTGGACTTATTCTTGAATATCATAATCAGAAACGTGGGTTTTTAGGCTGTATATTATAATATGGTTTGTCACTACTAAAATTTGTCAACCACATGTAACAACTTCATTAAATATCCTCATTTAACACTTTTTAGCTTTAGATGGCAGATCCCTCACGGAACTTCGACCTGTTCAAGAGATTACATCAGAAATATTTTGGATTTTTTTATTCTTTTCGCTTTTTCGGTGAATGATAAGAACAATACATTAATTGAATTCACGGCTTTGGTCACTCTTCTTTTAAGAAAAATAATTAAAACAAATCGACCTTTCATATATATCAACTCTTTCTCTTCCAATAATCGACTTATAAAGAATCTAAAGAATTCATATTATCAACCCTTTCCTCTTCGAAATATTAAGGCAATATTTCAGGAAAAAAAAAGAATGAATCACTGATCAGGAATTTAATTTAGGAGAAATTCCAATTTCTACTATATTAAGAGCAAGTTTATGGAATTTTTCCTACTAGACATTGTATTTATCCCTTCCTCTTGAACACAGATCCGCCTCCACATCGTAAGATGAAGAAAAAACAATGAAAGCATATCTATCTTTCTCTTGCACTAGCATCTATTTCCACAAGCCAACAGAATCATAACAGAGCGTGACAAAACATGCACGAAGATGGAAACCACATAAACATCATGGAATTGGAATCTTTGATAATTTGAACAACGATTGTCAACAGTGATGAAATAGATGCCAAGGTGAATCTTTTTTTAAGCAGAAAAACCAACAAGGAACAAAGTTTGTGGTGGTTGATGTGTTTATTTTATCATGATTTGATTGGTGAGGAGTAAAATCATTGGAGTTCATATCTAGTCAACAATTGGTGGACTTACATATACCGAAGAATTTGTATGAGATTGGAAAATTAATAATTCAGAAGTGTCGGTCAATTTCAATAATTCATTCAAAAAATAATGATTCAATGTATATTATGACTTTTGATCCACATGTTAAAAATTTCAAGATTTACGCATGACAAAGATAACATTACTGATACTGACTTACAAAGATAGCTTTATCAATACTAATCTACAAAGGTCCATAGATAGCTTTATCAATACTAATCTACAAATGTCCATATGTTAGACTTTTGTTTTTGATCGTATCCTAAGGGTTTTTTCCTGTGGTAGGCAAAACCCTCTGAAATCCCATGTAAGCATGATTTGATCTTTGTGCTAAACTTAAATAAATTAAGATCCAATTAGAAGTTAAAGTATCCACATGCACCCTGTTAATAGTTAAGTTTATATGGTGATAAAACACATGCACCATGTGTTAATGTATTTACATGTTAATTAACATAAATGTTAGTTTCACGTTTATATTATTCCATATTCCAGTTTCGTTTACTGCATGCATCTTCCTTATTATTAGACATTAAAATTATGAACTTATTTTTCTCAGTGATGTTACTTCTCGTCAAGGAGTTATTCATTAATTTAGTCACTTATAATAAACTTCATATATCAAGTAAAAATAAGAGTTATCTCCTAGAACTTGAAGATTATCTTATAATATAGAATTAATTAAGCAACCCTTGAAATTTTGTTAAAAACAATAAATTACTTAATGTTTTGCATAAGAGGTAATAGAATATTATATCTTCATCTTCGGCAGAAAGTTGAGGGTTTTGAATCTGGTTATTTAGTTGTTACTGTTTACAAATGGTGAATGACCGTCAATGTCTCATAGCTTCTAATAGTTAATCAGTGTTTAACTAATTATAAATTAAGCCAGTTTATACGTACCTCAACTAATCATTCGAGATCCTAGAATTACCGGTTAGGTAAGAGCTCCAATAACCACCCCTATTAGCAATCGAGGAGGGACTTGAATTTATGACCTCTTGAGTAATACACCCAAAAGTCTTTATCGAACCATTCGGCCACCCAAGGGTTAGTTTTACTTAATGTTTTGCATAAGAGGTAATAGAATATTATATCTTCAGCTTCTGCAGAAAAGTTTTATGAATCTGATTATTTAGTTGTTACTGTTTACAAACGGTGAATGACCGTCAATGTCTGGTAGGTTAACGAGTTTTTTAGTTAATCAAATTCATGAAATTACAAAAATTATAATTAATTTCCTTCTTTTCTGTGTATATAAATACCCTTAATGCCATATCAAGGTACTTACCATAGTTTGTACTTGAAGCGATATTGATCAATATGGCATCAGCTCAAACACCCCTTGAGAACTCTGAATTCTCCTTACTCAGCGTTCAGGAACTCATCAAAGATCCCAATATCACTGTGCCAAACGACTACTTTCGTCCCAATCAAGAGCCTCCAAAACTCTTGAACGGGAACGATCACTTCCCTGCAATCCCCACTATTGACTTGGAACGTTTAGTTTCCGAGGAACGCTCAGAGTTTGAACTAGAGAAGTTGGAAGCAACGTGCAAAGAATGGGGTATCTTTCAGGTTAGTAAACGTTAATGGAACGATAAAGGTTCATCTAGTTATTATTTTTTGGACGTGTATGAAATAACTTAAATTAATTTCATGAAGACAAATATATATAGATGATTAATTTGTTTTGTTCTCGGATATGTTAAGAAGTTTCGTGTTTATATCTGTTAATTAACTATGCAATAGTGCTACCAATAATACAGTTTGAATGTTATACGCAAAAGATGTCAATTAAAAGAAGTTTAAAAAAATAAGAATATAAAACAGCCTGACTGTTGTGACTTTGTGTTATTATGATGTAGTTGGTGAACCATGGAGTTAGCTCTTCACTGCTGGAGAAGCTGAAATTTGAGATCCAAGAATTTTATAAGCTTCCTGTAGAAGAGAAAATGAAATACAAAATAAAGCCTGATGACTTTGAAGGGTATGGATCCCTGGCCGGATCTGATGGGAAACTTGATTGGGGTGACAGGTTTTATATGATAACCAACCCTGTTAACAGGAGAAAATCACATCTCTTTCCAGAGCTCCCTTCATCCTTAAGGTGATTAATTTGTCTTTCTGATAAACTGGGAAAAAAAAAAAAATTATTAAAATTATTATTTGACAAATATTAATTTTCTTATTTATTTGCTTGCATGCATGCAGGAATACTTTAGAGTCTTACTTCCAGGAATTGCAAAATCTGTCCAGAAAAATTCTTGGGATGATAGCGAAGAATCTGAAGATGGAGGTTAAAGAAATGGAAGAGTTGTTTGAAGATGGGATGCAATCAGTGAGGTTGAATTATTATCCTCCATATTCAAAACCAGAGTTGGTTATGGGTATAATTCCTCACTCTGATGCCACTGGCATCACTATTTTGCATCAAGTTAATGGAGTTGATGGCCTTCAGATTAAAAAGGACGGCGTTTGGATTCCTCTCAGCATCATTCCTGAAGCATTTGTAATAAACTTGGGAGATATTCTGGAGGTTTGCCAAAGCTTTTTCTCTCATTTTCTCCTAACGTAAAATATATATATTTATAGTCTTGATCTTTTAGGAAACTAACCATTACCTCCAAAATTTTACTGGACTCCCTCTTGGTGATATATGTTGCAGAGTCCGTGCAATATTTAAGCACGTTGAAAGACTTACTGTTTCCTACCATCCATTGGCTCTGCAATATCTAAGCACGTTGAAAGACTTACTGTTTCCTACTATATATCCACTGGCACTGCATTCCTATAATAAGTCTTGAGTGATTACAAGAATGTGATTTGTAGTTAATAAAAGGAAACAAAACTAATTATATATTTATGTTGAGTAAATAACTTGTACGTTTTAATCTCTTTAATGTGGTGAATAAATCTATACAGATAATAAGCAACGGACTCTATCGGAGCATCGAGCACAGGGCATCAATAAACTCGGAGAAAGAGAGGATATCAGTTGCTTTTTTCGTCTACCCAAGGTTTGATGCAGAGATTGGACCTGCAACTAGCCTGATAAACCCTGAAAACCGAGCATTATTCAAGAGTATAGGGATGGAAGATTACGTCAAAGGTCTCTTCTCCCGTAAGCTCGATGGAAAAAAATACTTGGACTACATGAAGATTGAAGATGGTGAATGCATGCAGCACAACTGATGCGAAAAAGAAAAAAAAAACTAATGCATGCATGATTGAATAAATGATCGACGATGTAGAAGAATAATATATCACTGTTTGGAAATAAATTAAAATGCTGCTACTGTGTGTTGTAATGCTGAGTTCTTCTGCTGTAAGATATGTATCATATTGTATTGTGTGTTCCAGTGTGTATTCCAGGCAGTGATAGTGTTGTATGAGGCAGTGCTGAAAAATAAATTGGTTTGTATAATATTTTAGGGTTTTTTGTGATCTTTAATTATCTACAAGGAAATGCATGTTTAAGTATTTCTCTTAATCTTGAATTTAATTATTAATTTACTTGAAATACCATTTTAAGCTATTAACTTAATTAAATCAATAATAAAATAAGAGTTCTTTTCTTAAGGGAAAATATATATATATATACAAGAAATGAGTTACTCAGCAATTTAACTTACTTAATATTTGGTTTTGGCTCTACTAGGGAATAGGACCTGTTTTTTTTGAGGAAACTAAAAGCAATATAACATAATTTAAATTAAGTATCCAGACCCATATTAGAGTCTACATAATTTTTAAGGCCGCAAAATACCCTACAAGTCTAATAGATCAAAGTAATTATACAAACTCAAATATATACTAATACAAAAATGATGTACGGTAACACTGGACAGTAGCATTTTTTTTTTTAAGTATTACTATAGACTATTTATGGTAACAATTAATATTAAAATGTTATGATAACAATTTTATATGTAACATTTTAACTTTTTATAACATATTTTATATCAATGGTAACTCTTTCTCTAAAAAGGTTATTAATATATATATCTACAATAACATTTTTAAAGTGTTACAATAGACCTTAATAATATAGTAACATTTTTATAATGTTTTTATGTACAAATCAAAATACAATAACATTTTAAACGTGTTACCATAAACCTAATTATTTATCGGGAAAGAAAATATTATTCCTACCAACATAAAATGAGGTTGATTTTGTTTTGTTTTTATTTTTCAGGGATCAAATTATCATATTATTTGGGGTTTACTTTGTCACTTTTTATTCATATAGGGACCAAACAAATTTTTTACAAATAGTATAAAAGGAAGATGGAAGGTTGTGCAAAGCCTAAAACGTCCACCCATCTGTTTATTTGAAAGAATTGGGTTTTCTATTCATTGATTTATCACTAAGGAGTTACACCCTTTATATAGGGAGTATACGATCTCCTAAATCTTCTAATTATGTCAATTGTGGATTACACAATATTTTGTCTGACATAATTAGGAGATTACATAATCTCTAGAATATTCTGAGATTGTATTCCTGATATAATTAAAATATTACATAATATTCACTTGATTACAAAATATATACAAAATATTATGAAAATCTTAACACTTCCCCTCAAGTTGGTGCGTAGATGTCACACATGCCCAACTTGTCTAACACTTGTGAGAAAATACGTTTGGAGACAGCCTTGGTAAGAATATCAGCCAATTGANTGTCAATTGTGGATTACACAATATTTTGTCTGACATAATTAGGAGATTACATAATCTCTAGAATATTCTGAGATCGTATACCTGACATAACTAAAAGATTACATAATATTCACTTGATTACAAAATATATACAAAATATTATGAAAATCTTAACACCATCTTCATCCATTTTCTGACGACTGTCCAGCTTCCACCTTCGACGACCATTTTCCTTCTCCAACAGCCGACCATCATCACCCAAGAGGCCAAGACCTTCCCAGATTCCGACGACCGTTAAGCTTCCTTCATCCACGATCAACCCCCTAGGTATAGCTAACCCTAGTGGTTAAACAGTTTGTTATCCGATCACAAGGGAAGAGGTAACCAATGCAAGATGGATGTTTTCAATGGATGCCCCCAATGTTTAGAGAGAGAAAAGGAGATCTATAAGTTTTAAAATATAACACTTATACCCTTATAATTGATTATTTTCGTAAAAAGTAATTATCATAAGAGTAAAATATACGACACAATAAAAAACATTTTTTTCCCAAATTTCGTATCGAATTATCAAAGTTTAGTGTTTTAAATAATTTAATATATTTTATAATTATATCATATGACAAATGTTAATTATTAGCTTCCTCTTTTTTTCTAGTAGGAGAAAAGATTTTGTCTTAAATCTACTTTTCACAAATGTCTTAAAACAATGGGAAGCATATCTATCTTTCTCTTGCACTGGCATCTATTTCCACAAGCCAACAAATTCATAACAGAGCGTAACAAAACATGCACGAAGATGGAAACCACATAAACATCATGGAATTGGAATCTTTGATAATTTGAACAACGATTGTCAACAGTGATGAAATAGATGCCAAGGTGAATCTTTTTTTAAGCAGAAAAACCAACAAGGAACAAAGTTTGCGGTGGTTGATGTGTTGATTTTATTATGATTTGATTGGTGAGGAGTAAAATCATTGGAGTTCATATCTAGTCAACAATTGGTGGACTTACATATACCGAAGAATTTGTATGAGATTGGAAAATTAATAATTCAAAAGTGTCGGTCAATTTCAATAATTCATTCAAAAAATAATGATTCAATGTATAGTATGACTTTTGATCCATGTTAAAAATTTCAAGATTTATGCACGACAAAGATAACATTATTGATACTAACTTACGAAGATAACTTTATCAATACGGATCTAAAAATGTTCACATGTTAGACTTTTGTTTTTGATCGTATCCTTAACACTAAGCACAGGAAGAGAGCTCCACACCTTTTTCTCCATAGATGATTGATCTAAAAGATGGAATATATGGAGAATGATGTATGTGATACTATAACATGTACATTCATATTTTGCAAAAAAATTTCAATCAAATTGAAAACAAGTAAGGTATAATTTGTTACCTCCAGTCCTTAGCAACCTTGGAGACTTTTAATTTCAAGAGAAATTAAACAAAAGAGTATCCAGAGTTTTGAAAGAAAAACAGAGAAAAAAATACAGAGAAAAGTAAAGAGAAGGTTCTGAAAATTTTCACGCTTTTTACTACTTTTGTTTGTACAGTAAATGCACTTTTTATAGTGCTCATAACAGTAGCTAACTAACAATAATAGTAGCTAACTAACCCACTCTATAGGTTACTTAACTAACCATTTTCTAACTCTTACTAACATCCTCCCTTAAACTGGACTACTCTGAACTACACTAAACACTTGTTAAAATCCCTCTGTAAACATAACAACTTAAGAATACACCAACTCTTGCTAATATCCTGCCGTAAACTTGACTTGGGTGATGAACAACATCCTTCAGTGAAAAGGAGCAATTTGTGGCTAGAACAATAGATCAACAAGTAACTGTAGTGCAGAGACATCTTTAAATCAACCAAATAAACTGAACAAACTTAGCATAATTCTGTAGTAGCAGCTTTCACTTTGAATCAACCACACAAAACTGAATTCAATTCAAGCAAAAGAACTTGATACTGCAGCAAACTTCTATAGAAGCAGCTTCCACTTTGAATCAACTACATAAAGATCAACCACATAAAGCTGAATCAACCAACTTCCACTTTGAACCAACCACATAAAGATCAGATCAACCACATAAAGATCAGATCAACCACATAAAGCTGAATCAACCAGCTTCAAAAATGAGCTTGATACTGTAGGAGCAGATTTCCAGGCAAAAAAAAAAAATAGAGAGATACTGTAGGAGCAGATTTTTAGGCAAAATTAGAGAACACCAACTAATCAGCTTCAATTCTACAGAAAACCAAGTAAACTGAAACCAAGTAATGTGAACTGATGAAGCAAGCATAAGTAAAGCATAGAATAATTTGCAGATTAAATCTGCTGTAAGTTTGCAGAAGCAGTTTCCAAGTTATTGTCTAAACAATTATCTGCAGTACAAATCTCTGAAATATCAGTTTGTAAGAGAGATTAAATCTGCTGTACAAATCTCTGAAATATCAGTTTGTAAGAGAGATTAAATCTGCTGTACAAATCTCTGAAATATCAGTTTGTAAGAGAGATTAAATCTGCAGTACAAATCTCTGAAATATCAGTTTGTAAGAGAGATTAAATCTGCTGTACAAATCTCTGAAATATCAGTTTGTAAGAGAGATTAAATCTGCTGTACAAATCTCTGAAATATCAGTTTGTAAGAGAGATTAAATCTGCAGTACAAATCTCTGAAATATCAGTTTGTAAGAGAGATTAAATCTGCTGTACAAATCTCTGAAATATCAGTTTGTAAGAGAGATTAAATCTGCTGTACAAATCTCTGAAATATCAGTTTGTAAGAGAGATTAAATCTGCTGTAAGTTTGCAGAAGCAGTTTCCAAGTTATTGTCTGAACAATTATCTGCAGTACAAACCTCTGAAATATCAGTTTGTAAGAGAGAAGCAGTCACTGTTAACTTTGCTCTTAGAATCTCAAAACGTGCAAGTGACAGAGACTTAGTAAAAATATCTGCAGTTTGATACTCAGTAGGAACATACTACACTTTCAGGTTATTGGCTACTACTTGTTCCCTTATATAATGTGCATTCAACTCAATGTGCTTGGTTCGGGCGTGAAATACTGGATTTGAGGCAAGGGATCCAACACTTTGATTATCACACCAAATGACAGGAATTTCAGGAAGATGTACACCAATTTCAGAAAACAAACTCCTGAACCATGAGATTTCAGTGGCTCCTTGTGCAAGTGCTCTATATTCTGCCTCTATAGAAGAGAGAGACACTACCTCTTGCTTCTTGGAGCTCCATTGTAATAGATTGGAGCCAAGAAATAGACAGCAGCCACTAGTGGACCTTCTGTCCTGTAGGTTTCCTGCCCACTCTGCATCGGTGAAGCACTCAAGGTGAAATCTGCATACTTTAGTGAACTGAACCCCAAAATGTGTACTGCCTTTGAGATATCTCAAAAGCCTTTTCCAGGCTTGCCAATGTAATTGAGTAGGGGCTTTCAGAAATTGGCTAAGTTTGTTTACAGAGTAAGCAATGTCAGGCCTTGACAAGGTTAGATAT